ACTCAAATATATGTGAACTTATTTGTGAAGCAAATAGTTTTCGACATACTTTTCTTCACAACGGTTCCTCTTCGCTTCTTCAGAAGCATAGTCATTTGATTGGCGTAAGCTTTGCAGCTGTTAGGGCCTGAGGAAGCATGATCCATTGAACGGCGCCTGCCAGACCGTCGTGCCGACTGTTCCACTCACCGAAGCCAACCCAATTCGTTATTGAAATGGACGCCTTTTCTATGCTGTTTCGTAGAACTGAAAGCGGGAGGAAGCTGGCGCAGTAACAAGTAACTTTTTACTAGCACTTTTAGTTTTCTGATCACCGCGTTTCGCAAGCCACATGGCTGCTCCGAGCGAATATTTCAGTGGTTAGTTGGGAACAATGACCGGTCGGTTTGCGTGTGCTGCTCAGAGTTGCTATTCCGTACTGATTTGTGTTCACAGATTCTTGTAGACAACTTCGACAAAACAATCCTCCTTCTGCAGTGAGTCTGATAATCAGTGTTTTGAGAGATTCGCTCTTGAGTCTTAATGTGTATGCTTATGCCTCTAATTGTATCTGCTGCTAAAACGCTAATTTGTTCCAGAAATGCTAGAAACGCTATCCTTATCGGTGAGACAGGGCTCGTTTTGGCGATTATTGCTTGCCAAAGCTCCAGAGACTGCAGGGTGATAATCCCGGCACGGCAGCAAACATTGCAACAGGCTTCGGCGCCATCGTCAGCGATGGCCCCACAAGAATATCCGTGCAAAACAAGCAAAATTCACAAAAATTTTATTTCGAAGAAAGCATTGAGCATCCAGCGTAAAAGCTATAATCGAGTTCATTGAAAAGAACGTACGATTGGCATAGAGCTCGAAGTACAGCATGGGCAAAAATTGATAATTTTGAGCTCAGCAAGTTCGAGTTATAAAATTTGGATCACTCAAGGATTACTTTTTCGAAAATACCCTCTCAGTCGTATCATCTGTGGTGAGTTTTGCATTCACATAGACTTCTTGGGCATTTCAAATCAGGTATGCCAGACCTCGTTGCCTTGAACAATTGTCTCCTCATATCATCAAACACATCCACCACATAGGACAAACAGGATCATCCGAGCTATGGTACCTCCATATCACTGAACACATAAGCGAGACGCAGCAATATCCCGCGCATTCGCGGTCCAGCTTCTCCCACATGTGTAGCATTTTATCCATGGCCAAAAGCTTTCGTGAACAACTGGGGAAGAACTTCGAATCACGGCTGATTGCGACTATCTATAGCGAGCTACCTGAGCTCGTATGTGACGATACATATTTTTCTTCAAATGCATCGGACAAGTGGCGGTAACTTTATGCACCTGGCTAAGCTACCACCTCCTGACATTAGCAAAGGCGCTTTCAGCACGAAGCTGCTCGATCAGCCATCTCCCTCGACTTGGTCACTTTCCCCTCTTTCGCCGCACCGCGCAATTGAAGACGTCCAGCACCCAAGCACGCAATGACAAATAATGATATTGCGCGAGAGTTCCATGACTTTTTATAGTCTGCCAAATTTGCAAGCAGGATTTTTCTTTACATATTTGAGGGTTAGCGGAGGAATTTGCATCGAAAGAAGCACGCACACAACCTTCGTAGAAGGATAATCCAATCTGGAGGCGGAAATATGCAACAGTTCTGTAAAATGTGTCGTCTTTGTAAGTTATTCTAAGAAAATATAAAGAGAGTGGAATTCTAGCGAATTTTCACTTGTTGTTGTCTTCGCTCGTTGGACAGATGGCCATTTAACTGGCCCTACGGCCATATGGATACCACGGAGGAAAAGTAGTGTCGTCAGAGAAGAGGGTTCTGCTCGACAGTATCGATGAGCAAGAAGGAGAAAGTAAGCTGAGAGACGCCTATAGTACTTACGGTGCTGCGAAGTGCAAGTCGGTTACCTCGAAGAAAGACATCGAATGTTGCACCTGCAGGGTAACTTTTCCTGGTCATAATGCCGATCAGATTTCGCTGAACTTGAGAGATCCTTCAGTGATTATCACGAAAATCCGTTGTCAAAAAGTGTTTCCGAGTTAGTAGTCGGGAAGCAATGTAATCTCCTGTTTTTAAAGCAAAGTGCGCTGCCATGTTTGAAGTACAGTTGAGGCAGTACTGGAAGGAAAATGAAGTGATTCACAGCAGAAAGTACAAGGGAAGCAAGTGCGGTAAGATCGGATCCCAAGAAAGTTCACGAGAATGACGGACAGCAGCGATATACTTTATTGCATCTCGCTGTGGTTGCAGAGCTCTGAATGATTTGGAAATTAACCAGTTGTTCATGCTACTTCGAGAAAGTCTTGGAAAAAGAAGATATCTTGGAATTACTGAT